ACCTAAGATAGTGTTTAAAGTCAGCAACATAGAACATCAGCTAACATAACGTAAGATAGTGTTCAAAGTCAGCAACATACAACATCAGCTAACATAACCTAAGATAGTGTTTAAAGTCAGCAACATAGAACATCAGCTAACATAACGTAAGATAGTGTTCAAAGTCAGCAACATACAACATCAGCTAACATAACCTAAGATAGTGTTTAAAGTCAGCAACATAGAACATCAGCTAACATAACGTAAGATAGTGTTCAAAGTCAGCAACATACAACATCAGCTAACATAACCTAAGATAGTGTTTAAAGTCAGCAACATAGAACATCAGCTAACATAACGTAAGATAGTGTTCAAAGTCAGCAACATACAACATCAGCTAACATAACCTAAGATAGTGTTTAAAGTCAGCAACATAGAACATCAGCTAACATAACGTAAGATAGTGTTCAAAGTCAGCAACATACAACATCAGCTAACATAACCTAAGATAGTGTTTAAAGTCAGCAACATAGAACATCAGCTAACATAACGTAAGATAGTGTTCAAAGTCAGCAACATACAACATCAGCTAACATAACCTAAGATAGTGTTTAAAGTCAGCAACATAGAACATCAGCTAACATAACGTAAGATAGTGTTCAAAGTCAGCAACATACAACATCAGCTAACATAACGTAAGATAGTGTTTAAAGTCAACAACATAGATCATCAGCCAACATAACGTAAGATAGTGTTTAAAGTCAACAACATAGAACATCAGCTAACATAACCTAAGATAATGTTTAAAGTCAACAACATAGAACATCAGCTAATATAACCTAAGATAGTGTTCAAAGTCAACAACATAGAACATCAGCTAACATAACGTAAGATAGTGTTCAAAGTCAACAACATAGAACATCAGCTAACATAACGTAAGATAGTGTTTAAAGTCAACAACATAGAACATCAGCTAACATAACGTAAGATAGTGTTCAAAGTCAACAACATAGAACATCAGCTAACATAACCTAAGATAGTGTTTAAAGTCAGCAACATTGAACATCAGCTAACATAACGTAAGATAGTGTATAAAGGCAGCATGCAACATACAACATCAGATAACATAACCTAAGATAGTGTTTAAAGTCAGCAACATAGAACATCAGCTAACATAACCTAAGATAGAGTTCAAAGTCAGCAACATACAACATCAGCCAACATAACCTAACATAGTGTATAAAGGCAGCATGCGACATACAACATCAGATAACATAACCTAAGATAGTGTTCAAAGTCAACAACATAGAACATCAGCTAACATAACCTAAGATAGTGTTCAAAGTCAGCCAAAATAACGTAAGATAGTGTTCAAAGTCAACAACATAGAACATCAGCTAACATAACCTAAGATAGTGTTCAAAGTCAGCAACATAACCTACGATAGTGTTCAAAGTCAGCAACATACAACATCAGCCAACATAACCTAACATAGTGTATAAAGGCAGCATGCGACATACAACATCAGATAACATAACCTAAGATAGTGTTCAAAGTCAACAACATAGAACATCAGCTAACATAACCTAAGATAGTGTTCAAAGTCAGCCAAAATAACGTAAGATAGTGTTCAAAGTCAACAACATAGAACATCAGCTAACATAACCTAAGATAGTGTTCAAAGTCAGCAACATAACCTACGATAGTGTTCAAAGTCAGCAACATACAACATCAGCCAACATAACCTAACATAGTGTATAAAGGCAGCATGCGACATACAACATCAGATAACATAACCTAAGATAGTGTTCAAAGTCAACAACATAGAACATCAGCTAACATAACCTAAGATAGTGTTCAAAGTCAGCCAAAATAACGTAAGATAGTGTTCAAAGTCAACAACATAGAACATCAGCTAACATAACCTAAGATAGTGTTCAAAGTCAGCAACATAACCTACGATAGTGTTCAAAGTCAGCAACATACAACATCAGCCAACATAACCTAACATAGTGTATAAAGGCAGCATGCGACATACAACATCAGATAACATAACCTAACGTAGTGTTCAAAGAGACAATGTTGCATCCAACAATGTCGAATGATGTTGGTCTGGTTTGAACGGGCCTTTAGGGTTTTTTGTAAAATTGACTAGTAAATTCTTCTGAAATTGTTCTCCATCTTCAACATCCTTCTATTTTTAAGTACAAGTCTTGTGCCTCACAACCGCCACACCTCGCACCACATTTTCCAGACACTATCTGCTTGTCCACGTCAACATTGTAATTCAATGGTTGATGTTCTGCACATTCAGAAGGCCAGCCAAAGTAGGACCATTTGATAGGAGTAACAAAATACAGGCCAGTATCTCGTATATCCATTCTGAAGTTACCAATCTTGTTGGCAGTACAATCGCTTGTAACACAGTCGCCCGCTGAGCCATACCTCTGAAAAATCGTCATTGTATCACTCCAAGTTAGGCGAGCAAAGCGGTGATCTGTTGTAGTAATCTGAAGATCTGCAGTTATACGAATCTAGATATAGGAATTGGACAACATGAAATTATAGGACATGCAACGACGGAAATCAGAATAGCTTGGCACTATCATGTACACTGTCTGTGCACACGTAAAAACACACATGTTGTTACAGGTCTGCAAATAAGTTGTTACAAATCTGTTCACAAGCCGTCGACAAGTTGTGTTCGCATTGTTGTTCCCAGTTGTAACAAGTTTGGAACAAGCTGTTAACAACTTGTAACAAACTTGATGGCTTTATCAGACTTGTTACAAGGTTTGTCTAACAAGTCTGATACAATCATGATATAACAAGAACGTTACAAACCGTATTGTTCCAAACTTGTTGACAACTTGGGACAAGCAGTGCGAACACAACCTGTTGACGACTTGTTGGCAGACTTGCTACAAGATGTGAGATAAAAATGCAAGCAGGTTTGAGCAGGGCGGTTATAAGATATACAATGCTCGTTTCACCGCCCTATCTTATAACCGCCCTGATTTGAGTTTGATGAAAACTGATGAATTAGCCGAGTTTTTCCTTGCCATGGGACCAGCCTTGTCCGCCATTTTTGGGTGGCAAACTGCAACAACAAAGGATAATAAGTAAAGGAGTGATTTAGTAAAGTAAATAGCACTCGGATAATAGTACTGTGTTTCTACCATAGATATGGTTTCTACTCACTAAATTCACTTCTTTGCTTGTTGCCATTTATGCTACACGTGCCGTTTGCAACCCAAAAACGGCGGAGAAGGCTTGTCGCATGGCGTAAATAAGAAAGCTAATACAACTGTCCATTTCTAAATTTGACTATCATCTGCATGATTCCATGTAACGCTTACCTTGGAAAAATTAGTGGTTGATCCATAATGGTTAAATTCTTGCGGTGACATTGTATTGTCCAAGTGTGAAAAGTTATTCTCTTCACCTGAATTTAATGTAATGTATTCTTTCGGCTCGGTCGTATTCATATCAGCGCAGTATACAAGTACTGATTTGGTGCAAGTGAGAAATTGTAACTGCAGGTAATGCTCTCCATCCTGGTGCTCACACTTGGACAGTTCTTTGCATGACTTAAATACTGGAAGAAAAACATTTGACCTAATCGATCATAACAGTCTTATATCCAAATTATCTAACTATGGCATTAATCCACATATCGTGAACTGGATCTGTGACTTTTTAAGCAACAGATCACAGAGAGTTAAGCTGGCCAACGACTGTCTCTCCGAATGGAAATCAGTACCTGCTGGCGTCCCGCAAGGGACCAAATTAGGTCCCTGGCTTTTCCTAATAATGATTGAGGACCTAGAAATTTTATCGGACGGTACGGTCAAATTTGTTGATGACACGACGGCGTACGAGTTCATTCCTAGAGATCAATCCAGCTCAGCACAAAAAATTGTGGACGAAGTTGCCACTTGGTCATCTGTTAACAAATTTCAACTACACCAGAAAAAGTGCAAAGAGATGCGAATATCATTTTCGAGATCAATTCCCGAATAGGACGATCTTCTGCTTGATTCAAATATTATTGAAACAGTTAACTCACTTAAACTCCTTGGAGTAACACTCAGTAAAGATTTAAGATCGAATATACACATTGACTCATTAATCAAGAAAACATCTAAAAGATTGTATTTATCTCCCAACTAAAACGGGCCAACGTATCTCCTGAAGACCTGATCAAGTTTTAGGCCAATTGCTATATACATTATAAAGTGGAGGAGACGACAGTTTTTCAAGCTGTGTACGGTCGTGGTGACAACTTTTGGGCATTACTGGCGTAGTTCTTGGAGCTTGCGCTTTTCACTTCTGATATGGTAAGTTTGAGGGTAGGTTCGATTCTCATTCCAGATTGGTTCCAATGGCTCTAGGTAGCAGATTGACTAAAACCTAGTCATTGAGAGTTACATTGACGACGTACAATCGATTTTTACCTTTGTGTTTTTCACATCTTGAGCCAAAGAAGCGACATGGACATGCGCAGCTAAAACCAAAACTATTGGACGAATTAACTTGACATTGACCACCATTGAGACATTTATTCTAAAATTAATAATAAATTCCAAGAAAATACAATCAGTATAATCCCAAGAAGTGTCTTCGGTGTAGTGTCATAGTTCAATAATTTAGATATTTGGACTGATAGATTAATTTTAGATTAATAATCCGTACTCGTTCCCTAAAACTCCACCTCATAATTCCATTAATATATGTCTTATGAAAACAACGAACCGTTTGCCTTCTTGAATCACTCAAGGTGGCAACACCAATATTTCAAACTTGTCCAAATTGTGTTGGCTGCTGATGTTGTGAGATTAAAAAGTTGATTTGATATAAAAAATAGTTAAAATGAGGCAGAAGCTTATCCGGAGAAATAAAAATATCCCGGAATTGCGTTTGTAAAAGAAAAAAAATGGATGAATTAGAGTCGTACGAATCAGAACAAACTATAATGTTTTAAGCAACTTTCTAATAATGAATTCTAGCTAGCAAAACTGATCGAAAATAATCTCAATTATTTAACAATTATCCGCCGAAGGCGAGGTGATTATCGGTGAATAAAAACCGAGACGAAGTCGATGTTTTTATTCACGATAATCACCGAGCCTGAGGTGAATAATTGTTTTAGTATAATTTCATAGGTGATTATTTGGAAAAATATAAAAACTTCCACCAAAGCTAGGCTAGGGTTGCTCGCGTTATACTGCGTGCCGTATATGGCTGGTAAATGCCGAAGGTGTCTCAGCCACTTGATGATTATCTTACAAAACCTATATATATATATATATATATATATATATATATATATATATATATATATATATATATATATATATATATATATATATATATATATATATATATATATATATATATATATATATATATATATATATATATATATATATATATATATATATATATATTTATAATATATATTTATAATATAGCATTTGTAAATTCTGAACGCTGATTGGCTAAGAGCCGTGTTGATATAACACAATGTCAACACGGGAAATTTTCCGCCGCTTGTAAACACGGAAATTTTTCTTATCCTTCGGGCTTTTGACATTGCTATATTATAAAAAAAATATAAAACATTTTTCCGTATTGATATATAGTTATATCAACACTCGTGGAAGTTGGGAAAACTCGAAATTGTATGAAAACACTCCGCCCTTCGGGCGTTGTGTTTCCATACAATTTCTCGTTTTCTCAATTTACACTCGTGTTGATATAACTGTATATCAACACGGAAAATGTTTTATATTTGTTAAATATAATATATATATATATATATATATATATATATATATATATATATATATATATATATATATATATATATATATATATATATATATATATATATATATATATATATACTATATATATATATATATATATATATATATATATATATATATATATATATATATATATATATATATATATATATATATATATATATATATATATAGGCCGGCAGTGTTACCTCAGTAGCTTCATAAAACGAGTACTCGGAATTTCTCTCCAACAATTCTAAATCTGAGTTCCTTCTTTCTCCAATTATTTCGCAATTCCATGGATTAGTCGATACTCGTGTAATTTGATGATAGTTAAACGCCGTACAGCAGGCGATATTCGTACATTGATAAGCACAGTCAATCAGATTTAAAACTTGAAGGTGGATCATTATATTATGCACATAACGGTAGCCTAAAGAGTAAAGATGAAGAATTACAAATAGACCCATTGCACTTGACGTCACAGCGCCAGTAACGATGCATCTGGAGGACAAATTAGCAATCTACGCATAATATAACTTTTGTAAACAAAGCAAATTTTGTAAAAGTTTATAATAATTTTGTATTAAAATGGTTAATTTTTTCGCTGATGTGGTTGTTGAATCCGAACAGATATTGTTAGGTAGCATCTGGAGGACACTCTAAGGATTAGTGACGTCAGTGCAAAGGGTCTATAAACCTTATGCATAATGACGTCACAAGGCTTAATGCCCGCGAGGAATACTGGTCTTAGTAGTCATCGCCATAGGTCATCACAAGGGAAAATTTCGATAGTGGCCATTTTGAATTGTTTAATTTTCCCGGGCGATGACTACTAAGACCAGCATTCCTCGCGGGCATCAAGCCTTGTGACGTCGTTATGTATAAGGTCTATTCTAGAGACAATGGTCCATTTGCATTATAGACTAAATTTTGGTTTAGACAAAAATTTCATCACAGCTTGAAAGAGCATCACAAAATTAGTAACATTCCAAAGTTTCGTTGCGAAATGTTGTAAAATGCGGATAATATAGCTTTGCGAAATTTGCAATTTTCAGTCATTTTGTATTACAAACGGGAAATTGATGCCCCAACACCCGATTGGGCTGTCAATTTCCCGTGCGCAATACAAAATGACTGAAAAATGGCAAACTTCGCAAGGCTATATTATTCGCATTTTACAACAATTCGCTACGAAACTTTGGAATATTACTAATTTTGTGATGCTCTTTCAAGCTGTGATGAAATTTTTGTCTAGATCAAAATTTAGTCTATAATGCAAATGGTCCATTGTCACCCTAGCTATGTTTCCAAAGGACAAACGACGAAACGTATAGACTTGTCAAGATTACAAGTAAAATATTTGGTTAGCACTATTTTTCATCCAGAGATTTTTTTGGATTTTTTTATCAATTCGGTTAGAGTTAGAGTTAGGGTTGCGGTTAGGGTTAGGGGTTAGAGTAGGGGTAGGGTTTGGGTTAGTTACATAGCCATTTAACACCTCTTCCATCTTCCGAAAATGACGTCAGGTCAGTTTGCTGGATAGAAAATAGTGCTAACCAAAATTATTTTAGGCCAATGATTTGTGTTCATTTTTGACACGTTACTGTAATGTTAATGAACAAACTTTTAAGATTAATAAACTCGAAAACTTAAATATGTCTCAAAAATCATTAATAATTCATGAGGAAAACACAAAAAATCATAAGCGGTTTATATGTGATAGAGATTTCCCTTGATTTACATAAACTTTAAGGTAATTCCGCAGTAATTGTTCCCGAAATGAGAATGTGCTGAAACTTCCCAGGCATGGAGTTTATGATATACTTAAAGTAAAATCACACAAAAAAAGTCGGGGTCACCGAACTCGTTAAGAAGATATGACAATCACAATATACCACCTTTACCCCCAATATGGCGCCATCTTGACGCTCATTACGAGTAACAGCAAAATCACAACACCCCGATATTTATTGACGTTTTTAGCGCGGATTTTGCTTTAGTAAACCTATCTTGTAATTATTTTTGAAAAAATATTGTGTTTTGAGAAAAATGAAACGACTACTAACGTGTACAATTCTGATCCACAAATGTCTTTTCCACATTTCTTTACATATCTTTCTTTGTCGGAGAACATGCATTGATAAAGGATTTTTTTTCAAGATCCAGAAACGATTTTTCTTTTAATTTCGGATATGAAATGTAAAATGCATTAAAGAAATAAATTATCAGTTAAAAAACGGGGGTCGCCGATCTTTTTAGGGAATTGTGGCATTAAAACGTGAAATACAAGTAAATAAATATACTACAGACACAGGAACCCTAGCAACACTTTTGTATGCCTTTTTTGAAAACATTGATTTTAACGTAATTCTTTGCACGAATGTAACCAAAGATGTTTTGAAATAACATAAAATTGTCATAAAATGATTTTTTTTTAAACGCGGATGAAATTATAAGTTATAAGATGTGCGCAGTAAAAGTGCGCAATGAAAAACTGCGGAATTACCTTAACTTTGATTTTCTCGACTTACGCAAGCCCCCCCCCCCCCAAGTTTTCAGAAGACACAAAAAGTGCCTTTTCCCGGTGGTAAAGTGCCCTTTGCCTTCGTGTAAAATGTTGTTCAGATTGCATTTTTGACTCACTGATGTTGCAAAGCAACATCTGCGAGTCTTCGTGGTTACTTGAGTGTGGGGAAGTTAAACGATGAGAAATGACCAGCCTGCTTGGCGCGCACTCTTTACCTGCGAATCGGGCCTTTCAGAACCGGAAATCGGGCTGGAGCACGACAAATTTGGCAAAGCACGGTGCTCGTTTGCAAAAACAACTGCAAACTGCTTTAATTCTTTCGGTCAATCTCATTTGATCTCATCCGTGAGTCGGCCTCAACGGCCTTTGATTTATGATTGCATTTATTTTCCTTCCCTCTCCCCCCTTCCCCCGTCGCCAACATTTCCGAGAAAAAATTTTTAGGTGCCCTTTTCATTCCAAAAGTGCCCCTCGAACCGGTGCCTCCCCAACATCTTGATGCTTCCTACGCCCCTGACAACGTATTTTTTGAAAATTACTTTGCCAATGAACTTACTAGATCGATCGTTTTTGAAGCCGAATTTAAAACATTAGCCAACGGGTGGCTCCGGCGCCCCTGCAAGCTGCTGATGGTGCATGTGCATCAACTAAATCCAAAATATAATTCCACGTTTAGAAATACAAATTTTAGTCAAAAATGTATAACGATCGAATATCTAAATATTGATGATCTCTTTCAGGGAACATATGAAGCACAGTGAAATACGAGGTGAAATACGCGTCACCGACTGAAATTTCGATTATACACTAAATAGTTGCCGGTAGTCTTTTTTCATTGGGAAGAAGTATGTTTCTAATATTTTTTAACAATCCCAGTTTCATTTTTAAATTTCTTGAGAAGAGAATTTTGTTTCCTCAAAAATGGTTACCAAGGGAACACTTGCGGGAAATACTTAATTTCCACTTCAAATTCGCCCAGAACATTTGATTTGGTGTCTCCGCATGGGGAACAAACTCATTATATCTGATCGCTATGCAAGCAAAAATGAGTGAAAGAACCTATATGAATATAGATTTGTACTGCATCTAAATACCTTTATGAAATAGACTTTGTTGAAAGTAGCCTGCTTTCCCCTTCTAAATTTCAGGCTGCGAGCAGGCTATGTTGAAAGTAAAATGAAGAAAACTACAGCAGTCAGTGCAATGAGAGGAAAATAAGTCGTTTTTGCCGTCAGCCGAGAAATAAATATTTCTTCCATTGGCCATAAGAAATTTATGATTACTAAACTTTAATCTTGGTTCACTATTCAACGGTCAATTTTAGAAAGGTTGCCAGAAAAAATCACTATCCAGTTGATGGCGCTATCCATGTAGGGATAACATGACAGGGAAACAATTGGAATATTAGTAACTTCAAGCTATACCTGATATTAGATTTTATACAGTATTTTTAATTTTATTTTTAAACGCAAATAAAAAATGATAAACTACCTTTTAGTTCGTCTTCTCAGTTACTTGAATGCGGTGGACTTGATTTATAGTAAACACTTATAACACAATCTTGTAATAAAGTCTAGCATGATCTATTTTGGAATTATGACAAAAATTACCTGTCTTTTTGGCAAGATAAAATTCTTCAGAGTCCGCCGCGCAAACGTTATCCGCAACGGTATAAGAAAAAACATGATAAAATACGACTAAATTTACTAATTTTCCTTGCATGATGACAATTTTTAACACATGCACTTTCCAGTCAGTTGTTAATTACATCAACGCCAAGGGGCTTCTTATGTATATAACACCATATAGATAAAATCAGAGTATATATTTTTACACAAACAGCGAGTCCATCATCTGTCTTTCTAGACAACTAAATTTACAAATCATTAAATTTTAATTCCGATCGCGACAGGAGAAAAAACCCAATACGAAGATTAAGTTCGATTCGTCGACTTGTCAATAATATATAATTACTGTTGATTGTATGTGACAGCTGTTTATATTGCGAAGAGGCTTCGGTGGAGCAATATAGACTTCACTGTTTACTGCACTTTTGTCAGCTGACCTCGTTTCCATGTTTGCCTGTTTTAGCATGGCAGGCGCACGTAAAAGGTCATACCCCGATGTTCCATGTACGAATATGTTTCTCTTTGATCTACAGCCCAATCATGACCTTTCCTTAAACCTACGTACTGTGCAAGAAACATGTCGAGGTACATGGACACATGAAAACGAGGCCATTGGGGGCTAGAGTGCCGAGTGGAATAAACCGATACAGTCTGTTGTCAAAGGAATTAAGTGCTGACAATTTATTACAGCAAAAAGCGCTGACAATTGAATACAGCTGATTATATTGCGGAGTAAGGGCTTCGGTGGAGCAATTATCAGATGACATGCTGGTAATCGAGTTACAGAAAAGGGCACTCTGACAAGGATTATATTGAGAAGGGGCTTCAATTGATTATATTGAGAAGGGGCTCCGTTCGTCAAACTGTCCGTTCGTCAAAATGTCCGTCGGCAAAATGTCCGTTCGGCAAAATGTCTTTCGGCAAAATGTCTTTCGGCAAAATGTCTTTCGGCAAAGTGTCTTTCGGCAAAGTGTCTTTCGGCAAAATGTCCGGCCACCGCTTTTAATGACATTTGCATTATACTAAATTTTGATCTGAACAAGAGTCTAGACGAAAATTTCATCACAGCTTGAAAGAGCATCACAAAATTAGTAATATTCCAAAGTTTCGTTGCGAAATGTTGTAAAATGCGGATAATATAGCCTTGCGAAGTTTGCCGTTTTTCAGTCATTTTCTATTATAAACGGGAAATTGACAGCCCCAAAGGGTATTGGGCTGTCAATTTCCCAAAAACGGCAAACTTCGCAAGGCTATATTATCCGCATTTTACAACATTTCGCAACGAAACTTCGGAATATTACTAATTTTGTGATGCTCTTTCACGCTGTGATGAAATTTTTGTCTAGACTTGTTTAGATCAAAATTTAGTCTATAATGCAAATGGTCCATTGTCCGAGAAAGTGCTCGTAATTGATTTCAGTAAAAGCCTAAAAGGCGTTCTAGGGGCTTCGGGCATGGCACAATGACTAGATCAAGCACCTTTCACCTCTGAGATCTTGTGTTCGATACTCGCTGCGGACGCGTGACACTTTATGTGAACAGAGTCAGTCAACGCTCCACCGAAAGTTGTGGGTTTTCTCCGGGTATGTGCTCCGTGGTCAAATGTGAGTCACAAGGTGGCTGCAAGCTAAAGCCCAGAGGTGCCCTTAGGAAACCTTAAGGCTCATTTCCACTCAAGAAAAATTTCCACGGACAGAAAATTTTCCGAAAATATCATTGTTAAAAGTTGAAAATTTCAACTGCAAAATTTTTTTCCGACGGAAAATTTGTGTCGGCCAATCACATTTTAAAAAATTTTCTTTCTGCGGATAATTTTCCTGAGTGGAAATGGGTCTTTAAGGCCATTTTCCATTGCAGTCGCTTTGCCCGCGCGGGCGGAGCGACCAATTTTAATCACGTGAAAAATCAGTCGCCCGGGCACGCCAAGAAAGTTGAATGTAGTTCTACTTTCATGGCGTGTCCGCGAGCATTCAGGCGGACAAAAAATGCACAGGTTAGGCAACTACAGAGAAAGTTGAGTAATGTTCGCTCCGCCCGCGCGGGCAAAGCGACTGCAATGGAAAATTGCCTTTAGACATGAGACGTTGAGCTGCGCCGTTCAAAATTCAGCTTAGGCCTTAGCTCTTAACTGCAAGTAGAGTGAGGATCGATGATTAGCACACCCCATGCACTCACAACAATTGAGCTCTCTACTTTTGCTTCAGTAGTACGTAATTACAGTGATATATTTATGAACTGAGATCTGTGTCATGATATCGATAGTTCGATGACAAATAAATGACAGAAAATAGATTATATCGATATGCCCCCTGCATCATTGAACTGGCCAGGCTGGGGTTCCAGTCTAGCCAACGCTGAAGTTGGCGGAAAGATCGAACTACCTGAAAAATATAGAAATACTACGTTTCGAACGAATGCCTCAAAATTATTAGCCGGCCGAAGGACAAATTAACGAACATTATCACATGATTGATGTTTTAGCAATTTTAGCAGTGAAATTTCTGATATTGGCACGGTACACTGATGACTTTAGTTACCAAATTAAAGTTGTGCTGTAAGTATTTAATTTACTGTAAATAGTAATTTGATTACGTTCGGCGCACGAAAGGTTCGCCGTCCGTAAACCGAGCCTAAAAGTTTTACAAAGTATAAATATAGCTAATAACATGGGTACCTGGCCTCTTTGAAAAATTTAATCTTAAAAATATAGTTTATGGTAGATCAAAGGTATAATTTCACTTGCATATATAGATTGTTTCAATCTTCAACTTTTACAGTCTCCGTTGAAAAATTGTTTATTAGCCTGGTAACGCATAAAATATAAAATAATGCAAACTTGTGGTAGCTACTAGAGGTGTGCATCGGATCGGATTGGACGTTTATGATCCGATAATGGACGACTTACGCTTTAGAAAAATTTTTAATCTGGGAATAACAAAGGATGTTTTCTGAAAGAAGTTATCAAAATTAGAAAAACTGCAAAGCTTGGTTGCGAAATGTTGTAAAATACGGAAAATATAGCCCTGCGAAGTTGGCAAATTTGTATACATTTCTATTACGTGCGGAAATCGGTAACTAATTTAGTTACCAATTCACGCACGTAATACAAAAGTATACAAATTTGCCAACTTTGAAGGGCTATATTTTCCGTATTTTACAACATTTTGCAACCAAACTTTGTAATATTACTAATTCCAAGACGCTCTTTCCAGCTGTGGTGATAGATTTCGTTGTTCTTACTTAGATTAAAATTTAGTCTAAAGCGCAAGTCGTCCATTGGCTAATGTTTAAAATCCGATCCGATATGTATATTTTTGTTCCGAAATCCGAACGAATCCGATCGGATTTGCACACACCTAGAGCTACATCGGTGAATACCCCTCAAGTAACTTCTTGGTAAACGCCTTTATACATGAGTACAGGAGACCTTGTTGTTACGAGGTGGACATTCTAAAATATATGACGCAGGCATGCACCCTGATGAAAGCAGTGAAATACTATGTGGAAAAACTGAACAAACTGCCGAAGATGCGTTTTCAATATATCTCTACTCGTATCCTCTACCCAGTGATTTAACAGCAGAGGTTGAAATTGGAAAAGAAATTAGTCGCCTAAGCAGGGAAAAAGATCTGGGGTCGGTTGTATAAAACTCTTAATCACTTTTTTAATTACTATTTTGTAGTTAACTAGTGATTAACTCTCAAATACGCGCTTCTTATTGGATGACGTTTCCATTAACTATAGTTAACTTTAATCACTTTTTTATACAACTGGCCCCTGGTTGTCAAATTTAATATCAGGTCGCCTTATATATCAAGAAAGACTTATTGCATTGATCAATATTCGTGAATTATGTAATAATTATATCATATATGTACAGTAATAATGACAAGTTGTGAAATTATCAGGCTCTGTATTCTAATCTAATCTCATCCCCTCTACCACCCTGTCAGATGTTTCTTTCCAACATAAACTTAAAAGGTAAAAGTAGGAACATGCAGGTGGTAAAACGAAGGATTTTACGTTTGGTAGATAGATTAAACAGTATTGTCAGTCACGATTTATTACCGCGCAGAAAACATAAAAAACAGTTGTAATTTCGCAAATTCTATGCAAAACCAGAATAAGATATTGAGATATTTAAATCCTTTATCATTTAAATTTTTTTCTCAGTCGCACGAGGGCTAGCTTTGGCAAATATTTGGTCGCTAGATTAAAAATTTGGTCGCAATTGGCGCCCATGCATTACTGTATTGCTCTGCGTGACAGAATTATTTATTTTCTCCATAAAAATTGTTTCACAGACATTAATTAAAATAGACATCTAAATGTTCATATAATTGATCAACCATCATTCAAGTATTGCATTTATTGCTTTTTCTACATCTTCAAAGACCTGTAGACAAATGAAACAAATATTGGCTTAAGATTTCCCTATACAACACCCTAAGTGTTTGAAATTTAGTGTGGTTTTTTCATGTCATTGAGTACATTCAAATAGCAGGACAGAGGTATTTCTTTTGAAAGAATATACTAACATGACGGATACAGGGCTAAATCTAATAGGGCGAGGGGGGGGGGGGGGGGAACACCCTGGTGTTCCTGGTGGCTAGGGCCCTGAACCTACAAAGACGATAACAGACAGCTGCGGTGAGAAGGACATACAACTACAGTATCTGAAAAATATATGCAGGACTGACGAAAGGCCTTCGGAAGTTCTATCTTTCATGTAGTTGTGCATCACATCGCAGCTGTCCATACTAAGGAGTTTGAGCTTTCATACGTCAAACGGCAAAGGCTATAAGGCTATTAATGGAAAACGTTCTTGCAATGTATCATGATTTCTTTGAGTCCCAAAAGAAAATATGAAGTAAAGAATTTAAGCGAAAATTCTAGTAAGAAAGTGCCCTCAAACGTGAAGCTTAAACTCCCTAATGATTATTTTGTTATACCATACAATATTTCGTGTGATTTACTGTACCTCCTCTGGTTTCCCTGTAGCAGGAATTGTTTTCACAAGATTAAGTTTCTCGTAATGCTTTATTATGGGCATAGTCGATTCCTTGTATGTGTTAAACCTAATGAGAAGATAGGGGAAGGAGAATAGGTTTAAAGAATATTAATATAAAAAACAAAGTACAGTACAAAAAAATGTCACTTTCATATTGGCATTCGTTGCCCACATGGTCGAGCACGAGCCTCTTTCTTCACCAACCTCTTTCTTAAGCTTTCAATATTGTCATCTGTTCTACCACTGGTTTTACCTCGTTCAACTATCCTCCTTATGCATTCCTGGGAAATAATATGGAGGACAGGTATTAGGGCTACACTGTCACCATTACTTTAAGTTACAGCTATAACTAAACTGAGATTATTTAACCATCAACGATGTTACTTTGCCTGATGTATACAGCTATTTCAATTAAGGTTGTCCACGAGCAAAGCGGAAAAGTCGAATACGAGCGCGAAAGGCTGCTGGGAACCGCTTTGAAAATTCATTAATTTGTTAGCGATTCCCAGCAGCCTTTCGCGCTCGTATTCGACTTTTCCGCTTTGTTCGTGGACAACCTTAACTGAAATAGCTGTATACACAATATCACAGAATAGACATTTACCGAAGTCTGACTCAGCCAAAAAAGCGTAAACGCCGTCAAGCCATGATTCGTCATCAAAATGCACTCGTCACATTCCTAGCCAGTGCACTTACGAGAGGCATTCACCCCCCTGAACATCCGCCATTTTGAATATTTTCAGGGGGTGAATGTCTCTCATCAACGTACGAACTAGGAGCATGGCGACAGCATTGCAACGGTTACGCCAAAATCATAGGCGCTAACAACTTCTGTACTAGCTGAATTCACATTAGAAGACGGATTTTCTCCAAGATTCGGCAAACGTCAGGTTTTCCTCCTTAAGGAAAACCTGACAGGAGACTCGTCCCCATGCCCAAGCTCGGCCCGCCCGAGCTTGGGCCTGGGGACGAGGATGGGTCAGTGGGATGGGTTTATTCGCGCGATGTTTCGACGAGTTTCCCGTATTCTAATACGAATTTAGCTATTGGTATAAGTTTCTTCGGAAATTTCCAATAGATCAAAATATTTTCAATACCGTAAAGTTTTCACACGTAATATTCCTACTTGCCACAAAGCAAAACTTCACATGTATTGGTCCACTATATATATACAAATATCTTTTAAACTGTGTTTTCACTCATTAAAACGTTAACATTGAATTGTATACTAACCTCTTCTGGACAATCAAAGAACAGAACACATTTCACATCAACAATACCATCCATTTTTTCACTCCAACCTTGAAGATTATCTTCATTTCTTGGAAAACCATCAACAAGAAATTTCTTCACAGGACTCCTCTCCATTGCCTAAAACAATTGAAAAATTTTGCAAACATTGCAGTCATGGTTAATCGTCAAATTTTCTCTACAGTTCCATTAATAAAAGTGCAAAATCTGAAACAACTTGTGCAACTACGGCAGGAAGCTACACACATAGCCTGTGAGAAGGCACCTCTGGGTTACGCGACCCTTCGTGCGAGCAGACTATTATTTGATCGCATTTGCGCATTTGATCAGCGCATTTGATCATTTAGTCATGGAAAATGCGCTATAGAAGTTTTTAATTACAATTACTACTACATACACCTTAAATTGAGCTAACACCACAGCCGGCTAAAGTGAGCCCACTTTTAAATTCCTGTCAAATTTGCAGTTTTTACTGCATGGGTGATTTGTCTCACACCTAGCACTTTCACTTCTTCCGAAATGTTCTTTTCAGCTACGAGTCATTTTTGCCTAGACTGCGAGCAGTCCCTCTTTGAAGGAAAGGAGGGATAGGTTTAATAGTACGTTGTTTTTCCAGACACATATGTAAAATACTGTATATGGCGTTTTTAATTTTATTACTGAGGTAGACTGACAGTTTGTTTAACATACAGGGTGTCCCAAAAAAATAGTATACCTTTTGAAATCAAGCCTTTGTTGGAAATGAATGCCTTATTACTATGTTGAACCCACAAGTGCGTAAACACAATAATTTAATATGTACTTTGAGCGTATAATTTAACACAATAAAAACTCTTGCTCCGTGATTCGTTGAACTATGTTTGCTCGAGCTGACGGTGTGACTGATTAGTAATTTGTGTAGTCACCAGGGGTATTTTAGGTTTTGGGACTTGGATGGGAGCTTTAATATTAATAATGATATTCATATTCCATTTTGGGGAGAAATGCTCCCTCCCAGAATTTAGCTATTTTCAGATTGGGGGGGGGAGGGAATTCGGGATTTTAGGGGGAATCTCCCCCCCCCCCCGCAAAATACCCCTGAATCACTCTTCTTTTATAATATTATAAGCTATTTGAAATTCCCAGGAGTAGTACTTAAAAAGAACAAAATTATTTATTCAGGTTTCGTTTGTTAATATATACACCCTGTATTTTCCGCTTCCGTGGATTCAGCATAATGCTCAGACATTCAAATTATTACAAAAGGAAAATTTCAAAATGTATACTTGGGACACCCTGTAGATCAGCTTGTTTTTATTAAATAATATGGTTTCTCTGGCACTGCATATACACCTTTTGTAAAAGTGTAACTGTAATTGCTACAGGAACAATCTTTCCTTCTTTAATGCAATCCTGAATAAGATTTCCATCTTTCGAACCACTGTCCCGTTCTTGTCGCAAAAGTTCACCAGCTGACAAATGAACAAAACCAAATTTCTATATATAAGAAAAATAGCAGCACTTTATATTGACGTCCGTATAAATGGTTAGACTTTCGCGACCAACTCAATAAACCGCCCCAACTTCGTGTGATTTTTGGGTTTTGTTTGGTTGGGAGTTAGGGTTAAGAGTTGGGGTCTTATTTAGCTGCTACACATGCAGCCACTATCTCGCTATGTTGAAAAAATACAACTTCTTTAACTTTGTGGAAAACTGTACAAAGTTGGTGAGTAATTGCTATATTACAGACACTATAATATAGCAACTTATAATCAATTTTACTAAATATGTATACTGTAGTACATTTAATTTGCTAATAATTTAAGACCGTGATGTTTTTGATGTTATACTCTGAGTGAGCTCAGTTGGCAGAGCATTGGACTAGTATCCCAAAGGTCGCGGGTTCGATTCCCATCGTGGCCAGGCTAACTTTTCAGCCTGCCTGCATGTGTGGATATACACTCAGAGTAACATAAAAAACATTATATTCACCTGAGTACATAACATCAAAACATACACACACAAAATTAAGACCATGTTATACACAAGGCAATTTTAATTGCTGCAAATAAGCGCAATAGACCTTTCCCCATATGAGTGAAATTTTGATCTAGACTAGCCTGGACAAAAATTCCACCACAGCTTGAAAGAGCATCACAAAATTGGTAATATTCCAAAGTTTCGTTGCGAAATGTTGTAAAATGCGGATAATATAGCCTTGCGAAGTTTGCCGTTTTTCAGTCATTTTGTACTATACAAATGGGAAATTGATAATCAGTTTGATCATCTGATTATCAATTTGATCATCTGATTATCAATTTCCCGTTTGTAATGCAAAATGATCGACTGAAAAATGGCAAACTTCGCAAGGCTATATTATCCGCATTTTACAACATTTCACAACGAAACTTCGGAATATTACTAATTTTGTGATGCTTTTTCAAGCTGTGATGAAATTTTTGTCCAGATTTGTCTAGATCAAAATTTCACTTAAAGGGGGGAAAGGTCTATTAGCAAACCAAATTCTGACAAAGTTATGTTATATCTAGAAAGTCTCATAGAAAACTTGTTGCAGTTTTGACCTGAAATGAATTACTTTTTTCATAGCTCTTTGATAGCTTTGATAGCTCTGTCAATCAGGATGACGCTTTATCCGAGGTAGATAAATTCGCGTATTTGAAAGGTCTACTGGTTGGTCCCGCGCAGACAACTATTGCAGGGTTCACGTTAACAGCAACGAACTATAAAGAAGCATTAGAACTCCTAAAGACACGATATGGGAAGAAAACGGCAATACAGAGAGCCCATATTCAAGCGTTGATGAACATAAAACCAGTATGTAATGAGCGAGATGTACGTCGACTACGGGAATTGTACCATGCCTGTGAGACAAACTGCCGAAGTCTGAAAACCCTGGGAGTGGATGAAAGTTCGTATGCCACGATTGTTGTTCCGGAAATACTCGACAAGCTGCCGGAATCCCTTCGTTTGACGATAACTCGTGGGGCAAGGTGAGTGGATCAGACTTTCTAAATTGGACGATGAAGGATATTTTAAAAGCACTGCTAGATGAAATTGCATTACGCGAAGCACACGAATCATCTACGACGAACACGTCGAAACAAGAACGAAGGAAACCACCAGCCTCGTCCCTGGCGCTTTGATGTGCTTACTGGTTGCGTGACGCACGCGCGGGAATCGTGGGAAACCACAGTTTCTAGATGGATCGGCTGCTGCTCTTGTGAATCATACCACCAGGGAAGGGAAGACAAGATGCGTATATTGTTTACAAGAACATTTATCACAAGATTGTAAGAAAATTCAGAATGCTGGTGAGCGTAAACAGATACTTCGTAAGTACGGACGGTGTTTTATATGTTTAAAAAGAGGATATATTAGTAGCAATTGTTTAAATACGAGTAAATGTAGGGCATGCAGTAAACGACATCATAGTTCTATTTGTGAAAGCCATGCTAATGGGTCTGTAACCGCTGATGTCGTTCATTCCACACATTCGTGCGTTGGGTCAGCAAATAGAGTAGCATTGCAGACAGCTCAGGCTTTGGTAATGGGAGGAAAGGAGAATGTGAGAGTGCGGGTTATGTTTGACTCAGGAAGTCAACGGTCATTCGTTACGAGCAAGGTAGCTCAGAAGGCAGGAGTACCAGTAAAGAGGAAGGAATGGGTGGAAATTTGAACGTTCGGACAGGAGAAAGTTGAAGGGAAGTTTAGAGAAGTGTTTGAATTGAGTGTAGCCCCAGTACAGGGGGGAGAGAGTGTTAACATTGAAGTTTATGGAGTAGACAGCATTTCACAGATTAAGAATGAGCATGTAGAGACAAGGAAGAAAGATTACCCACATTTGCAAGGGTTATGGTTTTCCGATGTTTGTAAGGACAAGAATGTGTTAGAAATAGAGTTACTAATTGGCGCAGATTATGATTATTTGTGGTTATTTCAAGAAGGGCGTACTGTTAGGGGCAAGAGTGATGAACCTGTTGCGGTACAAACAAAATTAGGATGGGTGTTGTCAGGTCCACTGAAGAGTAGCTCTGAAGATGATGATGGTCCTACATCGTGTGCACAGGTAAGTGTAAACCTTATTGGGCATGTAACTTCATCAAAGAATAGGTCCCTTGAAGCATGTGTTGAAAAATTATGGGATTATGAAACGTTAGGCATAAAGCATGAAGAGGAAGCTAGTGAGTTATTAAATGATTCAATACATTTCAATGGCCAAAGATATAGTGTAAGTTTACCTTGGAAGGAAGGGCATAGTTTATTGCCAACAAATTATAGCTGTAGTGTACAGAGATTAAAGGGACAGCTTAGAGAGAGCTGATAAGATCCATTATCTACCACATGCTGTGGTTCGTAAAGATGCAAAGACCACTAAGGTCAGGATTGTGTATGATGCATCGAGTAAAGAGACTAAGAAG